TCAGCTGGCGCGAGGCGACCGAGCCAATGAGCGGAACTGGGCTTCGTGCGCTGGTTGACTGGGCCGCCTCGCGTCAGCCGTACTCGATTCTTATTGGTCACTGTTTTTCGTTGATAACTCGTTAACGGTGTCTCGGAGAACATTTTTGTAAAGGAAGAAGTTGCTTCAAATGATCCGAGGAGCCCGTCATTTCCAGATTGCGAGACATTTTTGGGACACCCTGTATATTATGCGATGATGATGATGATATTTTGATGCACATTGAACATTGAATAAAGTGAACGTCTTCGCGTTAGATATGCACATAAAATGATACTCGGTAAAGCGGTGCTCGCAAAATAGTGAGCAACGCTTCGAATAAAATATAAACAAATAATATAGCGTTCGAAACGATCACTCTATTCGAACAGAACGTGATCGAAGATTGCGCGGAGGCAAATTTTATGAAACAGAAATGTTTCGGAGCAAAGCCAAGAGTTTAAAAGCAGATATTAAAGAACGACCGACGCTTTATCTAAAAATCGTTATTTAACCGGCCGTGGTAAATTCAGTATTAGTAATAAATTCTGTCAGACTTTTACGGGGAGCCCTCTATCGCGTTCTCATGTTCCTAAACAAAGTCAAGCTGGAAACGGGAGAAGGGTAAACACAACTGGAGAGCGGGGCAAAGAGCAGAAAACAGTGGTGGACGGAGAAACAAATGTATAAAATGGAAAATCGAGAAGATAGAAAAAAAAATAAAGGGAATATAGAAAAATTGGAACGTAAAAGTGGTGATAGAGAAGAAGTAAAAACAATTGGCGGAAGGAGGAAATGGGGAGAGGAGCGCGAGAAAGAGAGGCAGTTGATACAAATTGAACGTGAAACGAAATCCAACGTGGCCGGGGCACGAAGCGTCCCGGGATAGGGGCCAGCCTCTGATTTCCACGGGCCGACGGCTAAATTTCCCGTGAAACAAGCCACGTAGACGTCATTGTTTCGCGTTATTGCGGTGTACGATATTCCCTTGGATCCTATTCCCCTCGAAAACCGTCTTATGAATCGCCACGGACCTCGCCGGGCGGCGCGTAGTAAAGCTTCATCCAGCATTACCCAATTTACTTTGCTCCGAGTCGCTTGGATTCGAGTTACGCGGAGCCAAATGATACCTGTTATTCGGTCGAGACACTCTTTCGAGATTCTTTCGAGTTGCGGGCGGACTTTCAAGTCGACTCGCTGATCGTTGCGCGGAAAGATCCGATGGTTGAACGCGTTAAGTGTCGGATATCAATCCCAAAAAATTCATCCTCCGACCGCGGGCGAGTTTTTGAGTTTTATTTGTTATAAATATGCGTTCTAAGAGGTGGATTAAAAAAGAGGATATACTATAAAGGGTAACTAAACGAAGTAATGAATATTTTTAAATTTAATTTTTTACCTCGCTAAATTTTAGAAAATATTTAGAACGCGAATTCCACATTGCCAAGGTTATATTGGAGGGTGAATGCAATTAAATCTAGACAGATAAAATTTACCGTAGTAAATATTAATTTAAATATATCTATGTAACAACCTGAATGTTACTAAAATGTTTAGAATTCAAAAGCGTTAAATTAATATTTACTATGGTAAATTTTATCTGTCTACGTTCGATTTCATATGTGTACAATATATATAAATATATTACATAGATAATAAAATATTCAATATATTTTATATTATACTATTATATTATTATTATATTTATATTATATTTATTATTATATTATATTATATATATATATATATATATATATATATATATATATATATATATATTATATTATTATATATTATATATAATACTATTATA